AACAAAATATACAAAAATATATAGAAAAAGAACTACAACAGATACAGCAACAGGACAACGACGACCATAATAATAATAAGCAGCAGCAGCAGCAACAGCAGCAGCAGCAACAGCAGCAACAGCAGCAACAACAGCAAGAAGAATTATTAGATCCTTTATTAGAGTTACGTATAAATCGTAATATGCGGGGTGTATATGCAGGTAATATAAATAAGAAAATAATATCTATAGGTATAAGAATAAAAAGATGGATAAATTACCATGGTTTATGTATAAATATTATTAATTATATTTATCCTTTTTCTTCTATCTATGCATGCGGATATAATTATATATTTAATACTAATTTTATTAGATGGATACAATATCTGCAGCAGAAGCAGCAGCAACAGCAGCAGCAGCAGCAACAGGGGCAGGGGTTGGAGAAGGAGCAGCAGCAGCAGCAGGGAGGAGAGAGGGAGCAAAAACACCAGAAAAGAGGAGAAGGAGAAGCAATAGGAGAGCAACAGCAACAGCAGCAGCAACAGCAGCAACAGCAGCAGCAGCAACAGCAGCAGCAACAGCAGCAGCAGCAACAGCAGCAGCAACAGCAGCAGCAGCAGCAGCAGCAGCAATTAGAAGGTGACCCTACAGCACCAATAATAAAATTAGCAGCAAATAATTTTATTTCTTCTTTTGTTAATATTTTCTCTTTTTCTTCTTTTTCTGTTGTTAATAATCTACAGCTAGCTATACAGCTAGCTAATCATTTACGTACAGCTAGCCATAGCTAGCTGCATAGCTAGCTGGATGGCTAGCTGCTAGCTATACAGCTAGCTGCTAGCTATACAGCTAGCTAATCATTTACGTACAGCTAGCCATAGCTAGCTGTATAGCTAGCTGTATAGCTAGCTGTGCAGCTAGCTAAGGATATACGAGCAGCTAGCTGTACAGCTAGCTGTACAGCTAGCTACGGATATACGTACAGCTAGGTAGTACAGCTAGCTGTATAGCTAACTGTATAGCTAGCTGCGGGTATACGGACAGCTAGCTACAGCTAGCTGCACAACTAGCCGTATAGCTAGCCATACAGCTAGCCGTCCAGCTAGCTACAGCTAGCCATATACAGCAACAGCTAGCTACAGCTAGCTGTACAGCTAGCCATGTACAGACACAGCTGAGTACAGACAGCTGTGGAGCGCAGCGTAGTGTATGGGCCTCCGTGAGACTCATGAGGGTTTAGGGTTTAGGGTTTAGGGTTTGGGGTTAAATGCTTATATATGGATGTGATTCGCCACTGATTAAGGCGATCAAGAGCAGCAGCAGCAACAGCAGCAGCAGCAACAGCAGCAGCAGCAACAGCAGCAGCAGCAGCAGCTGCTGCTGCTGCTGCTGCTGCAGCAGTAGTTTCCTCCTTTTTAGGAGTTGAGGAGTTTGCTGCTGCTGCTTAAGACAGCAACAAAACCTCCAAAAGGAATATCTTTTTAAACCTCAATAGTACTAAGATTTTAGGGTTTAGGGTTTAGGGTTTAGGGTTTAGGGTTTAGCGTCTAGGGTTTAGGGTTTACCGTTTGGCTACAGTGTTAGATAATGGGCTCAGGGCTTAGGGTCTTGTAGTTGATTATTAGAGTTTATTTAGCATGTACAAATTAGGGTTTAGGGTTTAGGGTTTAGGGTTTGAGGTGTCCTCCCGTCTAGTATTAAAACTATAAACCCTAATATGTAAACCCTAAACCCTCGTAAGGAAGACATAAACCCTAATTGAGGATATTAAACTAAACCCTTATATCCAAACCCTAAACCTTAATCTAGAGACGCAAGATAAGTGTGGTTTTGTAGCAAATATGTGCATGCTTTATTGCGGCTCGTGATTCCTAGGGTTTAGGGTTTAGGGTTTAGGGTTTAGGGTTTATTGTATGGCGGCACATGGCTCGAGGAATTTTTGCCTTTCTTCTGTTGTAATTAAATCAAGCAAAATTAAATTAATAAAATTAATTAATTAAATTAATTAAATTAAATTAATTAAATTAGATTAAATTATTTATTTAGTCTAGGTGCCGCTGCATGGGGGGCCCCCAAGACGGTCTGGGGGGCCCCCCAAACGGTCTGGGGGCCCCCCAGACGGCAGCTGCTAGAGGCCCAAGGGTTTAGGGTTTAGGGTTTAGGGTTTAGGGATTTGTGTTATATTATATTATGATTATTTTATTAAGATCCTAAACCCTAAACCCTAAACCCTAAACCCTAATGGATAAGATACGGTCTATGTTTCGTTATGTCTTCATCATAGAGAGAGGACAACCAAATGTAAGTTCTTCTTTATTTATTTATTTATTTATTTATTTATTTTATTTGTTTATTTATTTATTTATTTAATTTATTTGTGTTATATTTGTTTGCTTATTTATCCTCTTTTTGCTGCTCCTGCTGGTGCTGCTGCTGCTGCTGCTGCTGTACCCCCTTTCGTGTCTTCTCTCCTGTCTTCGTGTTTATACCACCGCAGCGTCAACAGCAGCAGCAGCAGCAACAACAGCAGCAGAAGCAACAATAGCAGCAGCAGCACTAGCAGCAGCAGCAGCAGCAGCACCAACAGCAACACCTGCTGATATGTGAATTTGTTGTTGTTGTTATAATGGTTGCCTGCTATTGCTGCTGCTGCTGTTGCTGCTGCTGCTGTTGCTGCTGCTTCTCTTGTTGCTGCTGCTATTGTTGCTGCTGCTGCTGCTGTTGCTGCTGCAGTTGGTATTTATACAGTGTATACTGGTATATTTGCATGCATATCTTGCTGCTGTTGCTGTTCCTGCTGCTGCATCATCTCCTCTTGCTGCTGCGCTGTTCTCGCTGCTGTTTCCCTGTTCCCTGCTGCTGCAGCAGCAGCAACAGCAGCCACAGCTGCAGCAATAATAATAATAATAATAATAATAATAATAATAATAATAATAATAATAATAATAATTTATTAATATATAATTTATATGTATACAGACCCTACAGATGGGTATAATGAGTATATTTTCTTCTTCTTTTATTTATTTATTATTAACTAAACAAATAAATCCATTAAAAGAATTAAATAAAAAAAAAGAAGAAAAAAAAGAATTATATAATAAATTAGAGCAAGAATTAGGCTATACTACGTACGTTTTTTTTTTTTTGCTGCTGCTGCTGCTGATGCTGTTGCTGCTGCTGCTGCTGCTGCTGTTGTTGTTTGATGGTGCTGCTGCTGCTGCTGCTGCTGCTGCTGCTGCTGCTGCTGCTGTTTTTGTTGCTTGATGGCTTTGTATAGGAGCGATATATCAAGAGGAATGTGTGCTGCTGCTGCTGCTGCTGTTGGTGCTGCTGTTGCTGCTGCTGCTGCTGCTGCTGCTGTTGCTGCTGCAGGTTGCAGCAATGGAAGCAATTAGGGTTTATTGATGAGGAAGATCTAAAGACACCAACAGAGACAAAAGGGGCAAAAAATAAATAAATAAATTAATTAATTTTTTTTATTCATTTATTTCTTTTTTTTTTTTTATTAATTTAATTTATTTCTTGTTTATTTATTCCTTTTTTATTTAACCTTTTTTTTTATTTCCTTTTTATTTATTTATTATTTTTTTTATTTACTCCTTATTTTAGGGTTTAGGGTTGCAAGGGTTTAGGGATTAGGTTTGCTAGGGTTTAGGGTTTAGGTTTGCTAGGGTTTATATTGTTTGGGGTTTGTTGCTAGGGTTTAGGGTTTAGGGTTTATTGTCAATTAGATCCCTCGAGGGTTTTATAAGAAAAAGAATAAAAAGAAATAAAATTAATTAAATAAAAGAAAAAAGGAAATAAATTAGTTTATCCCTTGAGGGTTTAGGGTTTAGGGTTTAGGGTTTGGGGACGGGAGCAACAGGGGCCCCCAAACCCCACATACCCTCCACGGGCCCCCGCGCCCTTTTAGCGCCTTTTAAAGGGGCCCCCCATTAACAGGGGACCCTTTTGTTTAGGGGGCCCCCCTTCTTAGGGGGGCCCCCCTAAGAGGCGCTGCAGCAGCACAAAGGGGCCTTAGGGGCCCCTCTATTGTTTGCTGCTGTCCCGTCTAAACCCTCTTTTCCTTGAATCTAACGAAATGGGCGAGGGGCCCCCACACGGATACATATGGGGGCCCCTCGAGGGGCCTCCAAGGGCCCCTATCTCCTCTAGGGGCCCCTTACGGCCCCTTGTGTCTATCCCTCATCTTCTCCCTCGGGTATTGGGGGTCCCCCAGGGGCCCCTATATCCTCGCATAGGGGAGGGTCTTGCGGGCCCCCGTGTACTTTAGTTCCTTCTCCCTCTATAGCCTCTATTGGGGGCCCCCCTCCCTCCTTAATCCCTTTACATAAGACTCCCCCCAAACCCGTTTACTCAGGGTCCCCCCCCCCCCCCAAAGGGGCCCCCCC